CAGGGCGGTCCGGGGGTCTGATTCCTGTCCGGATCCGCTCTCGCTTCTGCCTCGCGGGGAGTCCCGGTGTAGTGAGGCCTCTGCGCCAGAGCCCACCACGGGCTACGTTAGCTGCCTTTCCACGCCATCTTCTGGTTTTTCCCAGTTGGCTGATCCTTTGACTGTAAGCCTTTTGCTGCCAAGGGTTTCAGATATCGTGATGCCATCTCCCACTCCAAAGTCTCCCAAAGACTTGGTTCGGTCCACTTGTGATTATGTGATCCAGAAGTCAGCGTAGCTGCTGTTTCCTCCTCTTTTTCCACCATCCCTCCTCCTCATGCTACAGTTGTTCCAAAGTCCTCGATTTCCTTGCCCTCGGTGGAAAAATCAAGAGAGAGGAATTGTGGTGTGTGGATGTGGAAATGTTTGGTTTTGAGGGGATGGCCAGATATTTTACAACCTGGTCCTGTGTTGAAATGAACGTTATAAAGATGTCCTATAAGATAGTAAAGGCCAGAAATCAAACCTGCAGTGTCTGTTGAGCCACCTGTTCGTGCCTTAATGAGCTGGACAAGATTTTGATACAGGATGCTACTATTGAGCTGTGCTTTGTCCTGGATGTGGCTGATGTGGAAGAGAGCCTGGGAGGACACCGAGGGCTGTGTCACCAGTTCTTGACAGCCAGGAACCTGACCAAAACTCTGACGAAGAGAGAGGAATGCTTTTGTCCCGCAACCTCCACTGTTTTATTGTCAGCCGGGCTTCCGTTGTTAGAAATCTGCAGGCACTACAGAGGTTACAGGTAAGCATTTTTTTAATCTGTATTACAAGTTACTGTTCCATACAGCAGCGTACACCTGCTATCTTTTCCCTAGACCTTTCATTCATCCCCATCTTGGATGAGAGCTAAGACTATGGGCTCTGGCCCATCTCTCCAAGTTAATCTCCTGCTATGTGCTCAAAACAGCAATCTCCTATGGTGAGAATGCAGTCGCTAACCTGCCCCGCGCTCTGATCCCCCCATTTTTCTGTCTTCCCAGTTGAATTGCTGCCCTCCGATTCCTGCTTAAAATGGTGATTCCCGCTGCAGTCAATTTGCTTGCTAGTTGCTACTTCTGTCCTGGTCTGACCCACCCCCTCGCTGTGTTACGTGCTTTTCTCCCAGTCCTCCCCCAGTGCGTTCATTGTAAGGTGTGCTCTTTTTAGAGAGGAACACTTTGGGATTCAGTTATCAAGTGCACCTTGTCAGCTGGTCAAGCAAACAGTTCCGTTCATCAGCACAAATTCATTATCGTGTCGATCTTAGTGGGTGTTTGTTTTCCCTGCAGTACTAGCACACTGCAGTAGTAATCATCTTTCAGGTCAAAACCATATCACACCGCTGTTAGTGAAACTGATACTTACATTAGATCTATGTTGACAACAGAACATTAATAGCACTTGAACTGTGTACATCCACGGGAAATAAAAAGCAAAATACGACATTACAGAAGATCCCAGTGGCTGGTGGTGGCCTTCCAGCCATGCAGAATGTCGGGCTGTGTTATTCCAATAAGAAGCAGCACTACATACCACGTAGTATTTGGTTTGCCCTGAACCTTTATAGTTTTCCCTGCCTCATGGATATGGGATGCTTCTTTTGTCAGGACTGCCTGTAGCAGTGCTGATGTAATCTTAGCTCAGTCTCACTGGTGTCTTGAAATTGCTATTAATTAGTTCTGTGGCCTCTTGCTTGCTATTGGGCAGTGCAGAACAGCACAGTCCAACTTGCCCTCTGGAGTAAGCTCAGATGGCTGTAGCTGTCACCCTCCTCTGGTGCACGTTAATCCCAAAACTGATCAGAGGAAAAGTGGGAAAAGCCACCTCTCCCCAGAGATTGGGAAGGGGCTTTAGAGATGGCATCTCGAACTTGTGAGATATATTTCCTTCTGCTGTCTTAGGAATAAAACAATAACTCATTGTTACTTTTTTACCTTGTAGGAAATCTGAAGTTGCTAGACCCCCATGGCTCCTACTGTTAACTGCTCAATGCCTGGCAAAGTGGAAAGAACAAAAGTGAACATTTTTGACTTTATGAAAACCTCTGAAAAACGCAAATACGTGGTGCAAGCATGGAGGGAATTGCTCAAAGGTGAAAAGCAAAAAAAAAAGCAGAGAGGCCAAGGTGGAGCGCCTCTCTCCGACCGAGGAGATGGCAGAGAACAGGCTTCCTCTGTCCAGGAAGCTAGCTAAAGAGATCTTCAAAACAGCAAGTAAAGTCTTGCAGTGACCTAGGAAACCGCAGAACTGGCTGGGGGCTGCGGGCTGCAGAAGCAGCCATTAAAAATACTGAACGGCATTGGAAGGTGTGATCCATCAAAGCTGCCATTTGTTCTACACATCCTTCTCTTGACATCCCACTATATCTTATCAGCTGTAAGCTTTGTCGGCCCCAGGGTAGGCTTTGGAGGCAGTCTGCCACTGGAACACCCTTCGGCAGCACCTTTGCAGTGAAAAGAGAAGAGTGGGGGAACAGTGTTTTGAGCTGATGTGTGTGGGTACCGTGCCATTTCAGTCCCCAGCCCTCCTGCCTGGCACCATGAAGAAAAGCCACAGCGAGCTGCTCAACTGAAATGTCCCCTGGTACTTTAGACAACACACTGCCCACTCACACTGCTGAAGAGTTTGAACTCGTAGAAGAATGAAGCTGGTGATGAGACTTGAAGAAACTGAAGTTAGTGTGCCTCTACACTGATGACCCCTGTTATTTTATTGAGCATTAGGTGTATGACAGCCTATTCAATAGATCTTTCTGAGTCCCTGACCTGTGCTGGGGCACTAGCCTAAGCAGTGTGCCTGTCTGCTGTGCTTCCAGGAATTGCTGAAAGTGCTTGCTGGCCAAAACAACCCCTACACATCAACATGCAGCCTTCCGTTCCTGTCCTGATCAAGCCTCAGTTGCTGATTTCCTTCTCAATACATTTACGTCCCGTGGTCTCCTTTAAGAAGAAAACAAAACTGAAAGAAGAACTAATAAAGGCAAAACTCAGTCCTTTGTAGCATGAAATAGAAAGACCATGGGACCTTCCAGATCAGAGTGCTTTGCTACCATTTGCAGACCATGGCAACTAGTTAAAAGGCTTAGGTAGGGCGTGTGTCTAGAAGAGGCACACGAAGGTGATTGTCTCTCTTGCAGCTGCCTGGCCCTTGCAGACACGTACATACTCTATGTGACCCTGAACGTCTGAGGAAAGCGTTGCTTTGGCTGCCTTAAACCTGACCAGCACTTGCTGTCTGTGTTTCATTGTTCCAGATGCACGCATCGCTGTAGTTTTGAAAGCTGCTTAAGCGTTATTCGTGGGGTTTGGGATTCCTTTCACTCTAGATTTCTGTATAGTAGTGGTAGGCGGTAAAGGTAGTTCTTTCTTCAATACACATTGTGTTAGCTGTGCTAGCAAGTCAGGCTTTGTTAATAGAGAATGTTGGGCAGGCTTGAAGGTGTAATCGTTGTGAAGTGCTGTGTATGTTATGTATATGCGTATGTTTTTGGCAAATCTAGCACAGATTCCAGACTGGCCTTAGTGCATAGTGAAGGAAAGTACATCTTTGTGGGCGTGATTTTGGAATGTGTATATAAGGACAGCTAGTTTACATATGGGTTTAATGGAGTGTTGTAGTCTGGCACAGGCGTGCCTACCCATAGGCCTAGCAGTAGGTGATAGCCTTTCCAACTCTTACTAAAATTGCCTTTTTAACAGAAATGCATATCTCAGTCGCAGCAGCTGTTGAGCCACTGTACCGGGATGCTCAGCCACCAACAGATTGGTAACCACGGAGGCAGTCAGAGAGCAGGCAGCCATTTGGTCCTGAACAGGTGGTGAGAGTCTCCTTGGTCTGCCACTGCCACGCCGCTGTCCTGCAAGTGTCTTCAGCTGTACTGTATGAGCGACACAGGTTTTTGTCTGAAATGGTGCTACACCATTCTGTTCTGAGAAAAATCCTTCCTGAAGCACTGCCTCGTTGTCCTCATTTGCCTCTTTATTTCTGTCCACTTTTTTTCTTCTCTGGATGCCTCTGCAGGGAAGGGCAAAAGAAGTTGTGGCTGTTGCAGTAACTGCAGTCAAAGCTTGTTGGTAACACGGCTGCTGGCTTGCGAAACTGCAGCTCTCCACTGGTGAAATGTCCAAATGCGCTCATACAAACTGCTTTGTACGTCTGCCTGTCAGCATTGCAGTGTAAAGTACCTAAAGTTTTGTTAGGAGCTTGAAAATAATCCTTATTTGTCTTCTCCCCTTTCACTCCATCCCCTCAGAAGACAGAAGGAGACATCAAGTATGTGAAAGACTTAGGAGATGCTCTAGGTTTTGATGCCTATGTGTGCTCTGCAGTGAGGTCTGGCTGTGCCCGCATGCTTTGGGGGAGCAGCAGCAGCACTGCGTGCAGCTGAGACGGTGGAGTACCCAGCTAAGGAACTTCTTTGGAGGAAATCTCCCCTTTCTGTTTTCCTTCCATGGAAACATGTATTACGCAGAAGTAGAAATGGGATGTTCACTTAAATGTGGCTTTCAAGCATCGCTTACTTCAAAATGAGATGCTTGGTATTCCTACGTGCTTTGAAGTAAATCTTCCAATGTAAATGAACTCTGTGAGCTCGGATGAATAACCTTGTGCAGTGTCACAAGGAAGTAGCTGTCAGCGAAGCTGGTTAAAAACAAAACAAAACCAAACCACCAGAAAGCGGTCATTGAAAAAGAGCCCTCCTCTTTCAGTAAACCACACTGATTGATTGTCCTTATAACTGAAACTGGTTGTGAAACTGTTCGCTTGACATCTGCAAATTGGATATTTAATCTTTTTTTCCAGCTGGTGATGGTGAGTCCAACTTCAGAGCAGTATGACAGTTTGCTCCGGCAGATGTCAGAGAGAATTGATGAGGGATGTGGGGAGACCATCTATGTCATTGGTCAAGGATCAGGTGAGTAAAGCTTCCTCAGAAAAACTACAAAAAACATTAAAATTATAAGAAAAAACTAGTTCATCCAAGTGGGCTGCTGCTGAAGGTAATACTTACTTCTCTGGAATAATTTGGAAACCTTCATTAAGTCTAGGAGAGTATGTGGGACAGATTCTTTTGTTTTATTCTTGCCAGCAACTGTCTTATGTAGTGGAGCTGAACATATTTTTTTATATAAAATCAGACAAGTTATTTTTCGAAATAAGGCGTAAGTTGTCTGGGCACACCAGGAAAAGAGGAAGGATCTGAAATTATGATACAGTTTTAGTACAGACATCAATGTCTGATGGAGTTCTTGTTGTGCCTGGTTTTGTTCACTTCTCCATTGTAAATAACAGTATTTTTGCACCACAGGAATATATTGGAGATACTTCAGATAGGCAAAATATATGCTGCTGGCTTTCTTTGTTAGTGTGTGTCTGTACTGTGGAGAGAAGGGTTTTCCTTTTCTCAGCGTGAGACGTTTGTTGTCACATTAACTCAGGTGTGACTGCAGATTTTAGCAGTTAGCATGGATTACCTTTTTGGTCTTTTTCACAATTTGAATATTTGCATCTGATGCTGCTAAAGTAATATTGGACATGGCTTTGCTTTGACACTGAAATTTCTGAATGCAAAAAAATTGTCTTTGGCTGTTGTAAGGCCAAGGCATGTTTCATATATAGGAGATATCTGCTGGATATCAAGTTGTTATGATCAGACGTTCTACTAGGTAGTGTGTTTGAGGAAGAATACAAAACCCTTGTCATCAGTGTTCTGGTTGGCTGAGGTAACAGAAGGAGAGAGTTGTGATTCCTCGGAACTGTATGCTTTTTTGCTTTTCTTAGTGTCTTTCGAAGCAGCCAACATAGAAGAGAGGCTGGGATTAGATGGCCAGTGGTTGTGCAGCCAGTATCGCAGGGATAATGCTCTTGCCTCCAGGCGAGCTCCTGCGTGTGGTCTCAATCCTCGGTGTCTGGGATAACCACAGATGCAGCAGAGATCTAGCTAGTCAGGCTAGTAACTGGTTTCCCTTCTAGGATACCTTGTGAGGGTGTTAAGTGGTGGTTGTTGCAATGATGTACTTGATAGTAGGCATTTGTTTCTTAAAATACGAGCTAAAACTTCTAACTTTATTTTGAGTTGCTGCATAGTCAAGGAAGGTGGGGATCTTTTCTGTAAATTGGGAACAATAACCGACAAAAAAAAATCTTGATATCCTTGCCACCGTTGCTCCTTCTCATTCACTTTGAGTGTCTATGATTTTGATCATCATGGATACCCAACTTGTATGACTGAGAAGCAAGTGAAGACTGCCAGGAAGCTTGCTGCTTCATCAGTAGTGACCCTTCCCTTCCTTGGCTCTTACCCTCTCCTGTCCGCTACTCCTCATTCCCCTTCTATGACCCAGGACCCCAGCTGTGGTGCTTTTTGTTTTCCCCACCATCTCAACAGCTTTTCAGCGAACTTGTGAGCTTGGTTGGAAATCACCCATCAACCCTACTGGTAGAGCTGTGCAGTAGTTAAAGTGCTGATTAGTTCCTGCAAACTGCGGTTACTGCTTACCAGCTGATGAGTCAGCCACACGTATGAATGCGCACACAGCAACGGCTTTGGTCATCCAGGTGCAGTGTGGCTCTCCACCTTTGTTTGTTTGGGTTTTTTTTTACCCATAGAGGTGATTCTGGCCTGAAATCTGTGCAACTTCTCATCACCTGAGTTAGAAGAGAAGCTGAGAACTATGGTGGGCTTGAAACTGTGTAGATAGTTGCCACTGGCTTGCTCAGACTGTCAGCTCTTAGCTTGGGTGGGCTGTTCAGAGGCAGCAGTGCCTCCTTGGTTTCTCTGGCCTCGTGTGCTGTCAGCATTTCTTTTAAGTGCCAGGACAAAGGCAGTGAGACGGGCCAAAAACATTGTTTTAACTGGAGTACGTGCGGGATGAAGAAATTGCTGTGCAGGCCAGACTTGCAGAAAGAATGCACTTGGGATGTGGTTTTATAAAATAAACTGGTTGTTTAAATTGGTCCCACATTCAGTGGTTAATTGTGGTGATATTTCAGTCGGAGCTTTCCCTTTGTTAATGCTTTTCCCTTTATTGCAGTGTGAGAGGAGATGTTTCATCTGACTGAAGGCAATTGCACGCAAAGTACCTTCAGCATGTGAAGTAGAGGAGTTAGACAAAAACATGTCTTCCTTGCCAATCCCTAAGTATTTGCTTGTAGAAATTGTGAAGAAGATGCCTCTAGATGAAAGATGGTACTTTTATATAGTGACTTTTAAGACTTAGAGTGAAGACCATCCTGTTTTATTTTGGGCAAAGGGTGCTTATCCTGTTTACATGGCAGACATCTCCAGTCCGCATATAAATCCCGATCAGTGTGAAAGTCCCAGGCAAAACGGCATTGCTGCTGGCCGTTGCAAGGTGGTGCTCACTGACTGTCCTTTGTCTCCTCAACATCATACTAGATGGGACTGAGTACGGTCTGAGCGAGGCAGACATGGAAGCGTCCTATGCCACCTTGAAGAGCATGGCAGAGCAGATCGAGGCAGACGTGATCCTGCTGCGGGAGCACCAGGAGGCAGGCGGCAAGGTGCGCGACTACCTTGTTCGGAAACGTGTGGGTGACAACGACTTCCTGGAGGTCAGGTGAGGAGCCGGCTGGAGACAGGGTTAGTCAGCAGCCCAGCTGCATTTTTACCATGTGAGCAGTGCGTCATGCTGAGCCAGCAACGCTGGTTCGAGTCTGGGTGTTGTAGCTACCCAACAAAGGGAACTGAGCTTGACCACTCCTTGCTGATGAAACCGCCTGTTTGTTGTTGTTGCCGCTGTCTCTTGTGTGAACAAACCGTTTGCGGAGGTTTGCCTGTGTTTAGCTGAGGGCTGTTGCTGTCTGGGTGACAGCTTTGCAGTTTGGGGATCTTTTGTGGGCTGGAATCCCAGCAGGCAGTCACATATGCACGTGTTTCTATATGTGTGTATACGCACGCAGCTGGAATACAATACTTTGACTAAGGGTTCAATTCTATTCCAAGACTGTGATGATCCAAGTCACTTTTTAATGGACATATAATAGGTTGTATAACATGACTTGAGAGTCTGCCCAGACCAGGATAGAATGGATTTCCAACATTTGCCAACAGCCGTAATAGCCACCTTTATCAGAGACAAGAAAGGAGATTGCTGTAGGAGAGTGTTTTCCCCTAAAATGTTTCATAGTTGTTTGAGCTTTTCCTTTTCTGGGAACTGCAATTCAAATTTCTGTGCTCTCCCTAGCACCTGGTGCTATTGCAACATGAGGACTGTGAGACAGGCAGAGATATTCTAGTCTAAGCTGGGATTTAATCTTTCTTTTGAATTTCCACAAGGTGTATGTTGGATTGCAGAGACTAGGAGTTGGAAGAAACGTGTTCTGTATGGCATCAAGCAACGTCGGGTTTGGCTGGCTGTGTTCTGGACACCAGTGTCATGTTTCCACAGTCTTCCACATCCCAGTCCCCAGAGTCTGGGGTCTCTCCGCTGTTAACTAATAATTGTGAAAGAAACTCTGCTTGCAAAGGTCTAATGATTTTGAATCTCTGTTTAAAGGTTAGGGAGAAAAAGCTAGGTATTTGCAGGAGCAGTGGTGTTTGGGGTGTTTTTGATCACTGGTTTGTTTCCTCAGGTATCATATTTTACCAGATTCCTTTTTCCTTTCCCCTGCAGGGTAGCAGTGGTTGGCAATGTGGATGCAGGAAAGAGCACGTTGCTGGGTGTCTTGACACATGGTGAACTGGACAACGGCCGAGGCTTTGCTCGGCAAAAGCTCTTCCGCCATAAGCACGAGATTGAGTCAGGCCGCACCAGCAGCGTGGGCAATGACATTCTGGGCTTCGACAGTGAGGGCAATGTGGTGAACAAGCCTGACAGCCACGGTGGCAGCTTGGAATGGACAAAGATCTGTGAGAAATCCACCAAAGTCATTACTTTCATTGATCTGGCCGGTCACGAAAAGTACCTGAAAACCACCGTCTTTGGCATGACCGGCCATTTACCCGACTTCTGCATGCTTATGGTAGGTAGCAAGAAAAATGTACTGTACCAGCAGGAGCAGGGCTGTTCACAGCTTTAACAGCATCAACTTTACTATTGCAAAGTCCCTGTGGGGTTGTGGAGGGAGGCAGCATCTCCCAGAGGTGGAGGGCAGAAGGAACAGTGACTATCTAGCTAGGGCTCTGAGGCAAGAGCCCCAGGACTGCCAGTCCCAAACAGGCCCAAGTTGTATGATTCTTGAAAACGGAAAGATTTCGAAATTCCAGAAAATCTTGTTAAAACTGAGAAGTGAGTCCTTAGCCAGTGTCCAGCAGTATTGGAAATGAGCTTGGTCTGCTCGTACAGTCCCAATGACACATCTACAACCTAATCACAGCCTACTGCATGTCTGACACAAGACCACCTCTATAACCCAGCTTACTGCAGGAGGAACATTTACATCACTGTATCATGTATCCCTGGTGTAGGTTGGCAGTAATGCTGGGATTGTTGGAATGACCAAGGAGCACTTGGGCCTGGCGCTTGCACTTAACGTTCCTGTCTTTGTTGTGGTGACCAAGATCGACATGTGCCCTGCCAACATCCTACAAGGTGAGTCCTACAAGCTCTTTCCAGGGCTGCTTCTTACCTCCGTATGTGCTGTTGTCCTCTGCTTGGGTTGAGGAATTTCTGCTGGAGGAAAGCTGCCTTATCATGTTTTGACTGTATCTTAAACACCATCCAGAAATCTATTCTTTTCCTTTGCCCATTTTGCAGACAGTTCACTCATAGTGACCGTTTCAAAATTACCTGAGTTGGGGTACTCAGCTGGGCAACCCAAAAGTGTTTGCTACGGGGTTTTGCTTAATCGAGCTCTAACAGGAGAAGCATACATACAGTTGGGGTTGTGGCTTTGCTTTCTGGGTATTTAAACCCAGAGGGAGAGTCTGGAAGTTCTCTTGAAAGCTGCTTTCCTCCTTGCCCACAGTCTGAGCGTGATCTTAAGCTGTGATCAAACTTGTTCTCCAGCAGCCATTAGGTGAAGGAGCAGCTGCTCGTTACATCCTGCTCACCTGGGCACTTCTCAGATACGCTGGCATAACTACAGCAGTTCCTTCCTCTGAACAACCGACCGACACTTACTAAATCATGGTTCAAGGCGTCCGCATGTGTGGGCTACAGCAGCAGGACTGGACTAGACACAAGCAGGGATGGCAGTGAGCAGCACAGGCTAGCAACGTTTTTGCTCAGCAGCAGTTAAAGCAGCGCCTCTAACCCCAGCAGCGTCCCTTTAACCTACGCTTGACATCTTTTCAGGCTATGACCAACCCTCACCTTTGAAATTCTCTTGATGCATTTCGTAGACCTTCAGGAACATGCTGAGGTTAATTGGAGCAATGGTTTTTCTGATAATCAGTCCTAAGAATCAGGAAACTGAATGCTCCCGGTACAGTCTGTGGTTAGATCATTATTGTAAAAACCCTAAATATATTTTGGGTAAACAGATGAATGTGATCAGAAGATAATCTAAAGGTTTTTATAATAGATGTTTGGCAAATAAATGTAAGGTCCAACCATAAGATAATAACTAGGAAGGAGGGAGAACGTTTGGCTTGGGGTGAGGAGAGCAGAGCTGCTCTTGGGAGAAGTCACTCCTGTGTCATGTTCTGTTTAAATTAAATAGACGAAAGATTTGGCTCAAGTGTATCTGTGGAGAGCAGATGGCATGATTAGATGTTTGTGTTTCTGTATCCAAAACATTATTTTCCCATAGGCAATCATTTGTTCACAAAAAACATCTAATTGGATGACAGTTGTAGAATATAAATTATTTTCTCTTTTAAGCCCTTACTAGCCTTTTTTTTTCCTCATTTATTAAGGCACTTTGCAGGAGGCTGATGCTAGTGCATCAGGCAATGCCCCTGCTGGCTGATAGATATGAGGCTTAGAAAATAAATTAAAAAGAAACAAAAGATCAAAGTTAGGAGCTATGAGATTTGTCTCAAAATATTTATTTCTGGATCTGGTCCACCTACACTGTCATAGTGTGTGCTGGTGATCTTTACCTCTTTCACTCTTCTCTAACCTTGTAGGGCAGGTTGAAAATGTGCTTGCCAGGGAAAGTGTGCTGAGGTTTGTTTGGTCAAAATTGATTTCTAATTCACACATTCTCAAATATTTCAGTTCCTGAGTGCTGCTGGTTTTCATTGAATTCAATATGAAAAATCCTTTGGAGGAAGAGGAAATACCTTGTAACTGCTTAAAGCTACTAAATAGACAGCTATAAAATGTCTGCTTCACAGCATTGCACTTGCAGGTGCAAACGTGTATCTGTTCATGTATGGTGTCGCTTGGCAGCAGGCTAGCTGGCATGAAATGCAAGGTGGAGTGGCTCCCAAGTCCCACCTGGGCTGCAGCAAACTCAATCTCACTCACGTACATTTAGCCATCTTCTGTCTATCTGTGGCAAAAGCACCAATCTTCCTTCGGGGAGAGACCCCACAAAAGTGACTTGTAAAGACAGGAGATGCTGCCCTAACAATATTCATTTCGCCCTTTAAGAAACCCTGAAGCTGTTACAGCGACTGCTGAAGTCCCCAGGGTGCAGGAAGATTCCCGTGCTGGTTCAGAGCAAGGATGATGTCATTGTAACAGCCTCCAACTTCAGCTCAGAGAGGTAACGGGAGTAGAGGAGAGTCATTTCTCTTTCGATCCTATTTGGAGACTGGGTGAGAAGATTCAGAAAGAGAGTCCCATTGTCTAGATGTGTGAAGGTTGCATCTGCCACGTGGTGTGTTGATTCCATAAGAACGGGTTGATTTAGGGATTGACCTGCTTGTGTTCCCCTCTCTGAGACAGAAATGAGAGGCTGCTTCTGGGCAGTCTGCAGAGGATGGCAGGGTATTCGGTTTCCTTCAGTTCTAGAACGTTACACCTATTCTTGAATGTCATTAGAAGGCAGAGGTAATGCTGCAGGTTTTCAAACGTGGGGTGCTGTGCATCTGGCTGCTTGCCAGGCTTTCCCTTCCTTGCACTGTGTATTGAATTCAGTCCCAAGATTTTTGATGTCTTCCTACACTTGGAATTCCAGGCAGGGAGGTGAACTAACTCCATTTTCACCGATTTTCCTTTACAGGATGTGCCCGATTTTCCAGATTTCAAATGTCACCGGGGAGAATCTAGATCTGCTGAAGATGTTTCTTAATCTCTTGTCTCCACGGACTAGTTACAGGGAAGAAGAGCCAGCAGAATTCCAAATAGATGATACTTACTCTGTCCCGGTAAGGGGCCTGGTATTTGGAAGAGTTTTCTGCTCCCTCTTTCAGGTGGAAGAAGGCATCTTCCCTAGAGAGGGGAGTTCTGGAGCTCTTCTGCTGGCGTGGTTGAGTAACCCAAATTACTATTTTTTCTTTTTGCAATAGGGGGTAGGAACAGTTGTATCTGGGACAACACTGAGAGGCTTAATCAAGCTAAATGACACCCTGCTGCTGGGGCCAGATCCACTTGGCAACTTCCTACCTATTGCTGTCAAGTCCATCCACCGCAAGAGAATGCCCGTCAAAGAGGTGCGGGGAGGCCAGACTGCCTCCTTTGCATTGAAAAAGGTGAGATGGTCTGCTCTAGACTCCCAGAACAGGAACCATCCTCCTAATTTTAGAGTGCTCTTGGAGTTCAGCTGCAGTCAGACTGCTTCTGCAAACCTCAGCTGCCTCATTTCACAGCGCATTAAAATCCCATAGAACCTCTGTGGGTCCTATGTCCCGGTAGCTCTACCTGGCAGCTGCCAGGCAACAGCAGTGGGACCCAAGGTAACAAGGATTAGTGTTGGAGATGTGTAACAAAGCAGAGGCATTGCAAGAAAAGTCTCCTCTTGTGCTGCAAGCATTAGTGGCCTAGGTATGGTATTTACACTATTCTTCTCAACCTGTAGGACCAGCTGCATGATTTGGGGTTTAAAAATTAGCAAAATTTGGTGCAATTCCTCTGGTGAAAGGTTTCTGTCAATAAAAGCTGCACTAATTTTAAGGGGATACAGTTTAAGCTATACCAAATTTCACGTGTTCAGTCTTGCCATTTTGTGTTAACAGACATGATGCTTTTGGAGAGATCGTCTGCTTAGGCAATGTGCAGCCAAGATGTATGTTTTGCTATTAAAGGATCAGTGAGTTAAAACTTCTGTGTCAGTGTCCAGCATTCGCAGCACTGACTCCTTAAAAACTTCAGCGGAACTTGATTTTTGCAGCCTTTGCATAACATCGTTACATACTGCTGAACAGCTCTGGCTTTGCCTTTTGGTGAGCGTGAGTTACTGTCTGTGAATCCCATAGGATCCTTCTGGGTGCAGTCAGCCAGAGAAGCAAATTTCTTCCTTGGAGAATCATGCTGAGGTTTTTTGTGCCTCTGCTTTTCAGATCAAGCGTTCTTCCATCCGGAAAGGCATGGTAATGGTGTCACCCCGCCTGAATCCACAAGCATCGTGGGAGTTTGAAGCAGAGATTCTGGTGCTACATCACCCCACCACCATCAGCCCACGATATCAGGCCATGGGTATGTGTCTCAGTGTTGTCTCATCTTTGTTCCCCTGTGGTAACAGTTTATATCAGCTTTAGCCTGAGATCATTTTTCTCCTGATGGCTCTGTCAGCCACAGTTCCTGGTTCAACCTTTCCTAGCAATGCGTTAGAGAGAGGGGAGGGAGCTGACAGAGGAGAGTGGTGAAGGCTGTAGGTAGAAAGGAGATGTGTGACACCAAGTGTACTTGGAGCCTGCCTCAGCCAGATCTCCGTGGTGCAAAGATTCTTCAGCTTCAAGCACTGGCTGAGAGACTCAGTTTAAGTCCTGCCCTCTAGCCTGGCTGCTTGGTGGATTCTGTTCAGGATGCTTCAGGAAAATCTCTGTTGGAAGGCGACTGTTCTAGCTTATATGTGTTTTCTTTTTGAGGACTGAACAAAGGCAGCCGTGTGACCTGTATAGTCTTTGGTGCACAGCAGATTTTTACATTCCACGCTCAGCGCTGTTGGCTGTAGGGTAGCAAGAGCTGCCTTAGATGTCTGTCTGAAGCTTGTTCCACTGACGGTGCTGGCTGTTGAAAGCCTTTGTGCATTACATTCACAGTGCATTGTGGCAGCATCCGTCAGACGGCCACGATTCTCAGCATGGACAAGGACTGCCTGCGGACGGGGGACAAAGCCACAGTGCACTTTCGCTTCATCAAAACCCCGGAATATTTGCATATAGACCAGCGTCTGGTCTTCCGTGAAGGCCGCACCAAAGCTGTGGGTACCATCACTAAGGTAAAGGCTCCAGAGTCCAAGGTTTTTTTGCCCATTAACTACTTTCGGCACTGAGAAGCCAGCAGGAGACTGGAAAATTGAGGGAAGAGGCCGTCCTTCAATCACAAACGTCATCCGTGACATGGGTTGCGGATGACCAATGTGCTTTGTAGTGTGTCACGTCTTTAGCTCCTGTGAAGGAGGGAATGCGAAGGTCGGGTGTGAGCCAGATGCCTCTGGTTTTTAAGGCTTGGTCTCTTTCTGACAGCTGGTGGATGGTCTGTTGGAGTCATGTTGTGGAGGGCTGAGCATTACCTCAGCCGAGTGACCCTTTCCACCCAGTAAGGGTTCTTGAGGGCAGCTCAGGGGCCTAGATTTCTTTGAACAGCTGCATTCTGCTCCTGAAGGCTGTTGGTATCAATTCTCTGGAGATGTTTTGTCAAAAAGCAGCATTGAACCTTGCCAGATTGGCTTAGCCATTTTAATGCTGATTTTAGCCTCTCCTTCTGTAATTTGCAGTTACTCCAGACCACCAATAACTCACCAATGAACTCCAAGCCACAGCAGATCAAGATGCAGTCAACCAAGAAGGGAGTTGTTACGAAACGAGAGGATGGTATTCCGCCCCCTGGGATGGCAGCTGGAGGCCCACCAGCTGCGGACGAGGCCCCCTCAACAGCTGCAGCACCACTGACACCTGCTGCCCTGCAGCCGCTGGTAAGTGAGGAAAATGTCACGTCTGTCCTAGCTGTTTGCATCCTGGTTTCAGCTGCTGGAGGGAGGGCACTCTAAAGCATGAGCATTATCCCCTTGTACCCTTGAGCTCGCCTTGGGACTCAATGTGCAACAGAAACAAATATAAGTAGTCTCACGGCAGAAATCGGAATTCTCTGATGGCTGGATGACTCCTGATAGCTGACCTTTCAGCGGCTAGCAGCTTAGAGTCCTGGGACAATTCAGGCTGGACCTCAGGAAGCATCTAGTCTAACCTCTTGCTCTAAGTAGGATTAGCTGTGAGGTCAGGCCAGGTTGCTCAGGGTTTTATCCAGTCATGTCTTGAAAATCGCCAAGGAGGAAGACGGCACAACCTTCCTTGGCGACCTGTTGCACTCCTTGACTGTACTCACGGTGAAGACGCATCTCCATATACCCAGTAGCTGAACTAGTGAAGCATCTAAGAACCAGTCACAGAATGGGTCTGTGCTGTCTGAATGACAGGTAGAACATACCTACGCTAGAAAAATTACAACCTAAGTAGTAGTGTCAGACACAGGTCATCTGCCCTGTCAAGGAGGGAGGATGGAGACATCCAAGGAGGAGGAAAGGCTTATCTCTTTTTGAGAAAAATTTCTCCAGGTTGTTTTGTTGGCTAGGACTTCTCAGCTCAGCTTGTCCAAGAAGGATACCTAGCCTTTCTGGCATGAAAAGAATGGAAACTCACTTCTAACTGCAAGCTTTTGGAGCTATTTATCAGCTTTATTACATGGGTCTTCTCCTTTTAGTATACTTACCTAGTAAGCAAAAGGTTCAGGAACTGACTCCATCAAGAGACCTGGTCAGTGTTCCCCCTCTTAATTTTAGCTGTCTTGTTTGTCGTTGGTCAAATCTCACCCTCTTGAGCCAGGCTGACTGCTGAAAGGGTCCTCCGGCAGGAGTGGGGTTCTACCCTTTGTATATGCCTGTGGCTTCTTACTGATCCCTCATCTCCTCCTCTTATCGTAGCATCACTGTGGTTGTAAGTAGTGCTCCCAGCTTGCTCTTTGTTTTGTCCCCCCTCCCCGAGGGTCTGTGTTGCTTTTGTTCTCGCTTACCTCTGCCTCTCTCTCCTTGCTGCTTCCCCTCAGCCTGCACTGGATGAAGAGCCCCACATCCGTGAGGGCAATAAGGTATTTGGCTGCTTTAAAAGAGAACGGTGGGCTTGCTGGCCTGAGGCTGGGAACAGAGTCAGGTTGGCAAGCGAGCCCTAGTAGCGGGGGCGGGGGGCTCTCCTTCCATTCTCCACAAAGCCAAGGGAGTCTGAGGCCTCGATTTCCCAGATGCCGAGACGCATGGCACCTCCTGGTTCTCATGGGAACCAAGTGTTCAGAAAATCAGGAAATCAGGTCCTCCCCAGCTTCAGGGGCTGAACTTCGTGGTGTATCTGTCTCTCCCCCTTCCTTCATGGTGTGTCTGTCTGCCTTAATCTCCCTCCTGCAGGGGTAGGAAGCTGATCAGTCACAACTGCCTTCCCGCTGTCGGGACGTGTGTGTCATCCGTCCGAACCCCTGCTGTGTTGATATTCTGGTTCAGAGGTTGCAGCACACTAAAGTGTGTCTCTTGCTTTTCAGTCAAAAGTCGGAGGAGGAGGCCGGCGACGTGGGGGTCAGCGCCATAAAGTGAAGTCTCAGGGAGCCTGTGTGACTCCTGCCAGTGGCTGGGGGTCTTCTTTTTGTTTACACCTCGTCTTACTGCTCCTCCCTCTGAGGAATTCCTCCCCTTCCCTTCATTTCTTATCAAAAAGATCCAGAGCAGCTTAAACCAAAACCCATCCCAGCTGATTGGCTGCAGAAGAATCGTCTTTCCTCCTTGAAGGAAGCAATGGAGAGGAGCATAATTTATAAGCTAATGAAGGTGATAAGACACACAGAACTGAGCAACTGACACCTTCCTCCTCCCCCTATCAACACATTTTTGTACATCATGGGCTTAGTTTTTATTCTTATTAGTTTTTATTATATTTTGTGTGCATGAAGATGAGAGGAGAGTTTGGATAGAACTGAGAAGAGCCAGTTAGCTGCCTCCCTCCTCCCTGACCCTACTCTGTCCACAGGACTTGCTGCTCTCCTCCTATTTGCTGTCTCAGATACAGGGGTTATCAAACAGCTGGAATTTCAGACAGGGGTTATCAAACACCTGGAATTTCAGACTTGGAAAGGTTAAAACTCGTTGCTTAGGATGGCTGCGTAGGGCATTGTTTGCTCACCACTATGGCCCCGTGCCAAATATGTTTCTGGATTCCCTCTATCTAAAACTGTTTCTAAGTGGGTTTAATTTAATGTTGTAGTGACTGAAGTTTGAAGGAGATGGTAAGAAAATTCATTAGTGGGAGATCTAAGAAGGAAGCAAATTGGAAAGCAATCCTTGATGTTAAGTTGAGGAATCCTATACTAATATCCTTCTCAAATACGTTGGTAGCACTTAAGATTTTAAATACAGAATTCAGTGGGCAGTCATTTGCCCATCCTGTTCCCCTTCCCATCATGCTGCTTTTCCTATTCTTTGTTCAGTGCACATTGGAGCAAATCTTGCCTGCTTCTCGAGGCTGCGGCAGCTCGGTTGACAGTATTAAGAATATAGTGCAGGAACGCTCAGTCCGTCCTTTGAGCCAGAGAAAGCCTTCTCACCTCGACGGACAGAGATCACAGGTGGGAATATCCCTTTGGAACAGAGACACCAGGCAAACATGACCTTCCCTTGATTTTGTTTACTCCAAAATTTCGTAAATCTTTTCTGGAACTCGCTGGCCGAACTTTGCCATGGCAGAGGCATGATTTGTCTTCTCTCTGGGCTGCAGAGGGCAATGATGAATTGGAACAAAATTTATAGAAGTGCTTTCAGGTTTGGAAGTACGTGGTAATTTTTCTGACTTTCATTGATTTTTTTTTTTTTTTCTTTTTTAAGATTGTATTTTTTTTAATGATAAATTCTGCCTTCTCCAGGAAGGCCCTGCGAGGATGATCTATGAATTAACTTTATTCTTAGCATGTTTTTTTTAACCCTGGGTTGTGCAAGTGGTCGATTCCCTGCTTATTTTGATCTCTTTTCTTCTAACCCTGCCTCTTCGCTCCAGTCCCGTGAGGACAGGAGTTTCCTCTGCCAGCTTGTGAGCTGTGGGAGCGTGGTAGTGTTTTGAGGGAGGAGGTGGCATCCTCAGCAAATCGTTGCTCTCCCCAGCAGGTGCCGTCAGCCTTGGTTTCTTTGAGGGCTTCCTCCTCCACTGAAGGACTTTTGTTTTAATTAGAGGGAGGCTGAGAAGTTTCTGTCCCTCCTTAGCAGGTTGTTCCTGTTTCTCACTCTGTGGCACTCCACCTGTGTGGAGTTCATTCCAGTTCACCTTGCGACTCGAGGTAGGCTTTCAAGCCGACTGAGCGACAGCAGGTCTCCGGGCGGGGAGAGCGCGTCTCCCGATGCCAGCACCAGCACTCCAGGAGCATTAAGCGGCGCAAGAGAGGTGAGGAGCGTGGTCTGGAGACGAGGGTGCTTTGCCTTGGAGACTGCGGTAGCCTGAGCGTGGCTGGAAGCGGGGAGGTCAGAGAGTCCTTTCCGAGCTATGTGCCTAAACACCAGCGCTCTCCTGGCGAGGGAGGAACCACAGGCGGCTACAGCACTAACAGCACCCGCCTTGTGAGAGGGTGTGAAGTGTGGCTGAGCAGGGCATGGCGGCCCGCGTCCTTCTGGCCCTGTAGCAGCATCAAACTGCATCTGATTCCACTGCCCTCTGCTTCCGAGGGGAGCGGGGAGCTCCGGGCAGTTTTCTCTTTCTCCATTCCCTGTGCTCCAAATGAAGGAGACTGCCGAGACTGGAAGAGGGTTTACGTCAGTTTGTGCAAAGGAGGTGGTGTAATCTCTCTTTTGTGACCAGCATTCAAAGATCACGCAGGCTGGTGTGATCTATAAATAAATTTTAAACAAGTTTGTTCCAAGTTAAAGTACGGCTTGTTGCTTTTTTGTCCCTCTTGACAACCAGCAGTTCCGGCTTTAATGCTGAAAGCCAGAGCAAGCGGGCTTGCCTGGCACCGTGCTCCTGTGCTGGCGACGAGAGGAGGCTGCGCTCGTAGTGACGGCAGGGGAGGGCATGCCGTGCCGCAGGACAGCGGCCGCC